ACAGAGAGGACAGTCGCTACTCCGTAGGAGAAAGAAGTGGCGGTCTACGTCTACCCCCATAAAGATGTAGAGTCCTTGGAAGCCCTCTGTCCCAGAGTGCACTATGAGTCAGAATCATTTTTCCCCTTCAGCCTTGAGCGTTCCTTTATTGATCTTAGAGAACCGTCGATGGAGTTTAAACAAAGAATTAGTATACACTACGGGAACCAGAACCAGGCTGATGCCACCTGATCCCAGGATCCCCCAGCCAAAGTGGATAGATACAAAATACCAGAAGAGGAAATGAGGCGTTCGGTGGTGCGTCCAGGGGCAGCCCAGTTGGCAGAGCAGCCCGTGCAGTGGGCTCAGGCCTCTCTCTCGTAGGTGCGAGTGCAAACCACGCTGCCGTGAGTGAGGGTCAGGATGAGCTTCCCGTTGATCAGCTCCCGCACGAGCGTCGTCTCTTGCCCGTCCCATCTCTGCTTGTGGACCAGCTTGCCGTCATCCAGAGTCACAATGGACTTGACCCTCCTGCCATCTGCGGTCAATTCATCAAACTCTACTCCCAGCTTGAAGTTGATCTCTGTGTTCTTGAAGGTGCTCTGCGTCTTGATGGTGACCCTCTCCGAATTCATTTCAATGATGGTGGTGGGCTTGGTCAAGTTCCCCACCTGCCTGGTAGCAAAATCCACACCGAGTGACTTCATGTAGTCGTCGAAATTCGTGCTGTCCACTAGCTTCCAGGTGCCCACAAAAGCCTGTGCCATGGTCAGGCTGGCAGAGAAGCAGGCCGATGGCAGGCAAGCGAGGATCCCCAAACTGGCCCCGTGATGGAATCTGGGGGCAGCAGGTTGGTTTGGGCTGGGTGTGCAATTCACTCACAGTTTGCCTGCATTTACCAGTGGCTGTGTGCCTCGCCTCTCAGACTGCCCAAGCTCAGCTCCACAGAGAGAACGTGGAAGGCCCTGCGAGAAGGGGGAATAAGAAATTAGGTTCACAGACCAGGATTGTGAAGGATTGCAGGACCCCCGAAAATAGGAGGTCTTGTTTCTTTGACACTCCACTTTAAGCATGAACCACAGCTACCCTCAGAATGACCTTCTCATTAGTACCCACTCCTCCCACCCACACACACCCTCCAGGGTGCTGGAAGAAATAGGAGCAGAGGCAGAGGGCAGCGGGCAGAGGGGATGCCCATGTGGGCATTAGGAGCCATCCCGGGCATGGCAGGAAGAGAGCTCAGGGTTAGACAATCCATGGTCATAGAGCCTGAGGCAGGGCCTGCCCACATCAGGAGGGCACAATGCCGGGGGTGGGGGGAGCTGGGGTTCACGGCAGACCCCTGCTCCCTTCCAACCAGGGATCCCTGCTGGGAAGTAACCTGGGCTCCAGGAAGTCTTCTTACTGGATCTTGGGCAGGGACAGGCCGTGATCCTCCCCAAAACTCTCAGCGAGAGGCCTTTGCCGAGTGGGGGTAAGAGGAAGACCTGGTTGCTTTGAACCAACCCTGAATCCCTTCTGTCTGTCAGTGGCCAAGGCACCCCAGGCCAGTGTGTGGGTCCTGGGCATTGTGACCTCAGCTGTTCCGCACACAGACGGGTCACCCCACCCGGCCCTTAACCTGTAGTTGGCATAGGAGTGGCCTGGTCACGGGGGCTGCTTCGGGAGGCTGGGAAGCTGAAGAACACGCTGGCCTCTTCCATCATGTCAGCCAAGAGGGCAGAACTGAAGAAAGCAAGCCTGGTAAAGGAGAGGGGCCCCTGCTGAGCAGCTCGTTGTGGGGGAGGGGGAGGGAGCGGTCTCTGACTGAAGATGGGGGGAAGGGGCAGAAAAGGCTCTTGTGAGCCTCGGGCATTTCTCTTCTCTGCTGGCAATGGGGGTGGGCTTCACCCAGTGGGCTTGGGGTGGGAAGAAGCCTCTGGGGACTTCCTCTGAGCACAGCGACCCTGTAGGACAGAGTAGACCGGCCCTGCGGTTTCCAAGGCTGTACATTTTTATGGGAGCAGACAGCCTCATCTTTGTCCCAAGGAGCTGCTGGTGGGTTTGAACGGCCACCCTGATGGTTGGCAGTTCAGCATTTAACCCACAGTGCCATCAGGGCTCCTTCAGCTGGTAAATATCATTATCACCCCCATTTCACAAAGGAGGAAACGGAGGACCAAGAGACTCCAGAGTTTGCCCAAGTTCACACCGCTAGTCAACAGATGAGATTAGAACCAGGTCTGTCTATCCCCAAAGCCGAAGCTCCTGACGCAAACCTTGGCTGAAAGTGCCTTCTTGCCCAGCCCTTCCTGCAAGGGGAGCCCCAGGTCTGTAAGAGGAGCGAACCTGGCAAGGTTGGAGCTGTTCTGAAGCAAGGAGGGCTAACGGAGGTTATGAGGGCCTGAATTCAGGCACAGCTGGGCAGGCAGTTTGGAGTGGGGGCAAGGGTCAGGGTGGTGGGGGTGTCCTTTTACAAGGGTTGAATGTCATCAATGGATTCCAGTTCACGGTGCGTCAGAGCAGAACTGGGCTTCACCGGGTTTCCAACGACTAGACCCTTCCAGCAGTAGAACGCCAGGCCTTTCTTTGGGCAGATTTGAACCATCAACCTTTCAATCAGTAGCTAAGTGCCAGCCAGGGACTCCTATGACCTCATGAGCCCTCCCACAAGCCTGACGGCAGACAAGCTGACTTCCGATTACCTCTCTCAACAGAACAAGAACTACAAGACAGTTTGCCTGGATTGTAAGGCAGAGCCAGTCAAAGTAAGAAGCACTCCGGAGGCCACACAGGCACCTCGGGGCAGCAATATGGACTTGGGGGTCATTCACAGGGGCTGGTGACTGAGAGACAACGCCACACTAGGAACCAGAGCACTAAACAAGGGAGCCTTCAGTCGTGTTCTGTGCTCTGCAGAGAATTACAATCGAGAGACACGACTGGGAGGCTGCTTTAGATTGGATGGTCAGGCAGGCCTTTGTTGAGGTAGAGCATGGGCAGAGAGGAGGAGGGGAGAGCTGGACCGAGGAAGCAGCGAGGACAGATGCAGCGAGGACAGATGCCGTGAGGTGGGGACATGTGTGGGGCCAGGAAGACCTGAGCTCAGCGGAGGAGGGAGGAAACAGAGCTGGTGGGGCCCCAGAGGGTCAGTCTCTGCCCTTGGGCCTCAGGGAGGAGCAGACACTCAGGTCACCCCTCTTGCCTTCTCTGCCCACATAAGCAATGTCTAAGGCTCTGTGTCTCTGGTTTCAATGGACAGACATGTGACTACAGAGGCGCGAAGCAAGAGGGACCGTCTACCAAGTCTGGAGGGGCACAGGAGCTGAAGGTCAGCGTGGGAGCCCAGACAGCAGGGGGCGGGATGCACAGGATGGAGAGTGGGGGGCCTCAACTCCGCTGACTCCCGGGGCACTCTGAGCCATTGCCACCTCCAGAGCTGCTCTGGGCCTGGGCATCTCAGTCCCTCTGGTTCTTGCTTTTCTTTTTGAAATAATTCGAATCTTACAAAAAGTTGCAACAACTACTGCCATGAATTGTCATATACCTTTCACTCTTCTTCCCTCGATGCGGCATGTCGTTGTGGTTGTGTTATTCTCATGCAGTCATTCGTTCTCATCTCCCTCCCTTTCCCTTCCTCTCTCCCTCCCTGGTGGTGCAGTGGGCTACACATTGGCAGCTAACTACAAGGCCAGGGGTTCAAACCCACCTGTCACTCCTGTAAAGACTTGAATCCACTTAATGGCAGTGAGCTCTGTCTCTGTCTCTCTGTCTCTGTGTGTGTGTGTGTCTCTCTCTCTCTCTGTGTTCTATCCTAAACCAGTGGAGAGTAAGTTGCCCTTTTAACCCTAAATCTTCAGTGTGTATTTCCTAAGACAACAGCCAGAGTAGAATGGCCCGAATCCAGGAAATCAACAGATACAGTACAAATTCTGGTATGATGTAATTTATTCCAGCTGTCTCCCAAATATCCTTTATAACTGGAGAAGGGAAGCCAACCACCCCGCCCGATCCTAGACCAGGATCCCCGTGTGGTAACCCCTTGCCATTCTCTGTGGTCTCCTTGCATCTGGAGCCGTCCTGTGACTTTGGCCTTCCAGGGCACTAACTTTTCAGGATTGCAGTCCATTTACTTGGTGGACTGGCCTTGACTTGGGGCGTGATGGATGGTTCCTAGGGTCTGGGTGCAGGGTGGCACGTTGGTGGCAGGTCACTGAAGTGATGCTGACTCCTGCTCAGGACTGTCCCCAGAGGCAAGCACTGTCCACAGGCTGCCCGAGCTGCCTTCCTTTCCAGCACCCTGTCTGCCTCCTCCCTCCCGGAGCCCCCCTGCTTCCCTCTCTCTCGGTCCCTGGGTCATCCCTCCCCCCTTCAGTCGGTCGCCTTGGCTCATCCCTCCACATTGTCTCCCCTCAGAATGAACTCAGGGAGGTGAGGGAAGAACTCAAGGAAAAAATGGAGGAGATAAAGCAGGTAAAAGACGGTGCTTCACGCAACACGGCGGGAAGGACGGCTTGAAGAGAAGCATGTCCTGAGCTTCGAGAATGAAGGACAGGAGGACTTGCGGGGTGGGGGTGGGGGGCGTAGGCCAATGACTTCAACTCCATCCCCTCGGTGCTTAGGAGCTCAGTGGTTCAGTCATCCTCTTTGGTGCTTAAAGCTGGTAGTTGAGGAACCACTCTTGCCACATATAATCCATGGTGGCTAAGGACGCTGCAAGGGAATCTCGTCACAAGGTTGGGCTAAGGTAACCTTGGTGACCACGTGGAGAGGGGCTGGGGGACTGATTTGGATTTGGGGGCAGGCAAGGACCAGTCCCTCCTCTTTATTTATCTGTCCAGGGACAGCCACAGAGTTAGAACTCTCTCTTAATTGCTGTGATGGAAACACCTATACCAGTTGGCACAAATCAACCCCAACTCATGGCACCATCCCCTGTCTGTGAGCAGCACCGTGCGCTGCAGGGACTCCGGTGGCTGCCGGGTGGTGGTTGGGTTTCTTTCTACAAGGGGATCCTCAGGCCTCTCGACAGGGCGCACTTGAGCCTCCAGCCCAGGGCCACCTAGAGCATACTTAGAAAACAAGCAAGTAAGCGAGAACAGAGATGTAACTAGGCCTGTGGCCTGCACTCCATCTGGAAGCCTTCCATGACAATACGCCAGAGGCAACAGTCGCCAAGGCTGCCGGTGGTGGTGACAGGTGACTTGGTGGTCTGTAAACTTTCGCCCCATTCACAGGTTCCTTGGGAAGAAAGTAGCTTCACTAGCCCATTACTAGTCCAGTCCTTAAGCCAGCGGTTCTCAACCTGTGGGTCACAACCCCTTTGGGCAGTGGTTCTCAACCTGTGGGTTTTGACCCCTTTGGGGATCAAATGACCCTTTCACAGGGGTCGTCCGATTCATAACAGTAGCAACATGACAGTTATGAAGTAGTAGCGAAAATCATTTTATGGTTGGGGAGGTCACCACAATATGAGGCACTGTATGAAAGGTCGCGGCATGAGGAAGGTTGAGAACCACTGTCTTAAGCTCTCTCTAGTTCATTCCGTAGAAACCACTGCTGCCTTTTTCTTAAGAAGCTCCCAGAGGAGACTGGGCAACTCTCTGGAGTAATACAAGTGTGCCTTTTCCTCCTTATTAGATAAAAGACGTAATGGACAAGGATTTTGATAAGCTCAAGGAATTCGTGGAAATTATGAAGGTAAGCACAATGCCGAGAGTCTAGTAGGAGACCGAAACGTGATTACAAGAAAAAATTACTTAATAACTAAGTAGCAAGCTAAGTAATAACTGGTTCTCTGTTGATGAGAGACTTAGAGAAGAGAGAAATGGCAGGGCTAGGAGTGTCCAGAAAGGCCTTTGGAGGGAAAGTGAGGCTAAGTTGAGCCTTGCAAACTGCATGAAAAGGTTAATGCAGATCAAATAAAAACGAAAACCAGCAAGAGTGTTTTTTTAACTCAAGACCTGCTGAGGAGGATCGTTTCAACTCTAGAACAGAGGCTCTCGCACTTTGACATGGTCCGGAATCACCTGAGTGCTAAGGAGCACAGAGCCCATAGCGTGTTGGGAGGGCGCTTGACCAGGCTCTTCAATATGGAAGCACGGACAGGCAAATCTAGACAGCCACACCTTTAAAAGAGATGGAAGGGGGATTAGTCATAAGATATGCTAAAACCCACCATGTTGTTGTTTGCTGTTGAAGTGATTCAGATAACAACCCTGTACACAGGGTAGACCTGCCCCATGAGGTTGTGATGCTTAGGGAAGCAGACTGCCACATCTTTCTCCCGTGGAGAGGCTGGTGGGATCGAACCACTGACTTTTCAGTTAGTAGCTGAGCGCTTCACCACGGTGTCAACAAAGCTGCTTATAATCTACAGTAAAGCAAAAATAATGAAACCTGACTATAGCCCAAAGAACATCAGAGGGATGAATAAAGCCACAGAGAGACCCAGTGGGCAGCCATCTGCCAAAGATGCACTGAGAATCACCTGGGGCTTTTAAACGTCCATAAACCCAGGTACCACTCCAGGTGAGTTGAATAAAGTTCCCCAGAGCTGGGCAGAATTACTTAAGGATCCTTAAGTGAGTCTGATGCCTGCCCTTTGATGAGAACCAGGCCCTAAACATGTTAATAGTCGTTATTAACCATGGCTACACTTTAGAATCTCCTGGGGAGCTTTGAAAACTCCTTCTTCTGCCTGGGCTGCCCCTGAACAATTCTATCAGAAGCTCTTGGGGAAGGTCCACTACACCTGTAGTTTGGTAGTTACGTAATCTGTTGTCAATTTGAGACTTAAGATTGAAGGGGTAGAGTTTGGCCTGTCAATCAGGCCACAGCTTGATGACCTCATTTGGAGGCACTAAGGAGATAAATAGCTCATTGGAGGTGGGACACAAGCTCACTCACTGGGAGACATCTCCGTTGACAAGACACATGGAGCCACCCTAGAGCTCTGGAGCTGGAGGAGCCACGTAGACACCCCTGCCAGCCCTGAGCTGCTCACTCCACCACTGGACCCATAAGACTTTACCCACTGGCCTGTGATCTTCCTGCATTCAGTATCATTGCATGTGTTTCATGAGTCTGAAGAGAACTTTATAGATTGTATCAGACATGTGGGCTAATGTTGGACTTGTGGACTTGACCTGGACTGGGCTGGGATGTTTTCTTAGTATTTAATTGCTCTTTCTCACACACATGAGTCTCCCTGGATTTGTTTCTCTAGTCTACCTGGACTAACACAAGTAGTGTTTAAAGCCCCGTAGATAATTCCAAATACATTCAAGGGTGAAAACCACAGCTCTATAGAGTTTAAAATACAATCTCACTCACTGCCATCGAGTTGATGCCGACCCCAAAGACAGGGTAGAACTTCCCTTGTGCGTTTCTGAGACTAACTTTATGGGAGCAGAAAGCCTCGTCTTTCTCCCACAGAGTAACTGGTGACTTTGAACTGGTTACCTTGCAGTTAGCAGCCGAATGCATAACTCACCACGCCACCAGGGCTCTTAATTAAAGTATGATATAGATTTTTTTTTTAAATGTCAGCGAGAAGGAAAGGCATTGCTTAACTACAGGAAGAAGGCCCACAGCTCTGTTTATTATGCAGAAACCAGAAATAATGCTTACAGAGTAAATTTAAATAATAAAAACCAGGAAAAAAGTATTAAATAAATATTTAACTGGGTTTTCTAAATATAAAAACAATGACAAAAATCCCAAAATAAATGTTGATAAGAAAAGTGGGTGAAGGGAGACGTCTGTTAGTGTAAGACATGGAAAAATAATCATTTATAAATTATCAAAGGTTTGTTGGGGGGGGGAATGAAGAGCTGATATCAAGGGCTCAAGTAGAAAGCAAATGTTTTGAGAATGATCATGGCAACAAAGGTACAAATGTACTTGACACAATAGATGTATGTATGGATTGTGATAAGAGTTGTACAAGCCCCCAATAAAATGATTTTTAAAAAGAAAAAAAAAATCCCCAAATAGTTAAAAAAAACGTTGATAAACTTCACTGCACCACCTGTAGAAATGAACAGCAACAGCAGGCTGGGGAAATAACTTTACACAAATACGAGCGGGAAGATGGACACGGACGGTTTCTATCCTTCGGATGGAAAGCTCCCACAAATGAGCACGCAGGTGAGAAGCCGTGCCAAGGACACGAGCAGACAACCCGTGAGAGAATGCAACTCAGAGGCCAGACACCTCTGAAAAGCAATGTTTCCAACCTGGAGTCATGAAGTAATTGCAAAGAAAAGCAATCAAGCAACAATTAGGTAATGATTACATGTGCAGATGTTTAGATGATAACAAGACAGATAAGCAAGGAATGTGTTCATTTTTCAGAGGGGAGTGCAAATTTGCTTAAAATTGACAAATCATTAGACAACACCCAATGCTATTAAACAATAAACTCCTAACGTACAGAAATGCACACATCAAGAACGAATGATGCAGTTTTTTTCAAAGAAAATATACAGATGGCTAATACGTCATTTAAAAACTCAAATCTATCGTCATCGGTCAACTACTACTTCTGCTTTTTTTAATTTTCAGAAAGTTTTATTTACAAACATTTAAAAAAATCATTTTATTGGGGGTTCTAACAGCTCTTATCACCCTCCATCCATCCACCATTGTGTCCAGCACATTTGTACAAATGTTGCCATCATCATTTTCAAAACATTTTCTTTCTACGTGAGCCCTTGGTATCAGCTCATTTTCCTCCTCCTCCTCCATCCTCGGCCCTTATGAACCCTTGATAATTTATAAAACAAATGTTCATGTCTTACACCAAGATCACTGTCCACTCCCAGAGTCCTTAAGGCTGTAATTCTTATACAAGCTGATGACCACACCTTTCTCTGCAGAGAGGCTGGTGGGTCCAAAGGGCCAGACTTCAATTAGCAACTGAAGCCGTAACCGCTGTGCCGCAGCCTCTCTGATCAGACAGTGTTGCTGCTCTTCGGTGCTTTGGGGTCGGTTCTGACGCACAGCTGCCTCACGTCCAGCAAAGCAAAGCATTGTAGTCTGCGCCATCCTCAGCCCTCGCTGTGTCTGAGCTCCTTGGTGCAGCCGCTGTGTCAGTCCGTCTTGTTGAAGGCCTTCCTCGTTTTTGCCGACTCTATTTTATTGAGCATGCTGCCCGTCTCAAGGCACTGGTCGAGCATGCTGCCCGTCTCAAGGTCGCGCCTGGTAACGTGCCCCAGAACACGAGAGGCGCACTCTGGAAGTGTCTCTCCAAGCTGGTTTCTTCATTTTTCTGGCAGTATTCTCCGTCAATCCCTTCATGAAAGTGCATAGGTTCTTTGATCTTGTTTATCAGCCAGCTCACACATGCATATGAGGTGATTGACAATGCCATGGCTGGGGTCAGGTGCACCTGAGTCTTCCAGGTGATGAGGTCGATGCTTTTCAACACTTTAAAGAGGTCAGTGCAGCAGATTCACCCAAGGTAATGTGCCGTTTGATTTCCTGACTGCTGGTTCCATGGGTGTTGATTATGGATCCAAGTAAAATGAAATCCTTGCACAGCTTCCATCTGCTCTCCCTTGATCGCGGTGCGCTTTAGCGGTGCAATGGTGAGGGCTAGGGCTCTTCATCAATGAGCGCTTCAAGGCCTCTTCCCTTACAGCAAGCACGGTTGGGTCACCTGCAGACTGCACGTTGTTCCTGAGCTTCAGTTCTAATGGCGTGTTCTTCCTTGTGTAGCTCAGTCTCTCAGCGTGTTTACTCAGCATATAGATTAAACCCATTTGGTGAAGAGAGACAACGCTGACCATGCCTTTCTGATTTGAAACCATACCATATCCCACTGCCTTTTGTTCCACGCACAGGTTCTGCATCAGCACAATGCGGTGTTCTGGGATTCCCCTTCTTCGTAGTGTTATCTGTAGTCTGTTATGATTCACACAATCGAATGCTTGTATATGGTTAATAAAACACAGGTGAGCATTTTTCCACCTTTCCGACTCTCTGCCTTCAACCGAGACTCCTTTGACATCCGCGGGTCTACATCTTGTTCTAAATCCACCTTGACTTCCTAGCAGTTCCTTGTCAATGTATTGCATATTTTAAAATTATCGTCAGCAATATCTTGCCGTCATGTGATACCAATGATATTGTTTGATAAGTTCCACATTTTGTGGGATCACCTTTCTTTGGGTTGTGTGCAAATATAAATCTCTTCGAGTTGGTTGGCTAGGTAGTTGTCCTCCAAATTTCTTGCCATAGATGATAATTTCCAGCATTGCGTGCGTAGGTTAGCTGGTATTGCACCCATGCCTAACGTCATGCTTTCCTCGGATACTTTTAATACAATAGCAATAGGTACCCAAATATCAAAACCCTTACTTCTCAGTCTTGCTCCTCAGAATGAGGAAAGCCAGCATGGTTACGTCTAAACAGATGTTCGGCACAGCTATTTATAAGAGCAAACATTGGGAAGCAAACCACCACTTTTAATAGTAGGGGAATAGCCAAATAAATAACGGGATTTCTGTTAGGAACTATCAATGACAATGTTTAGAAAGAATGTTTATAATGAAACTTGAAAAGGGAAGCTATAAGGAACATACACAGATTGATTTCAGCTGGATGAAAATATAGGCTCATAGCTCGATGGGAAAGAAGTGCATGTATCAGAACAGCTCAGTGTGGTTACTTCTTGGTGGGGAGATTTTTTTATAGTCCTCTAAATGTTCTACAATAAGTATGTATTATTTTATATGAAAAGGCACATCCAACCACAAGGGTCTCGTCTTGTTAGGGGGGCTGGCTGCGGGCGGGCACAAGGAGCAGCTGGAGCACAGCAGGATAGGAGGGTGACCGGGTAGCGGGAAGATCAGTTATAGGGGGATCCTCAGGGCACATTGTGAGAAATAGCACTGAGTGGGCACAAGGGCAGTGGATAATGAGGGCTTTTGAAAGACAGGCAGACAAGCTGGAACTTGATCTGTTAGCAGTAAGAGGCTTCTCAATATTCTGAATCAAAGAACATGCTTGGGGCAGCACTTCAGGAAGCTGAGCCCACAGCTGTTTGCAAGGTGGCCTAGAGGGTAGGGGTGCAGGGAGCAGGTGGAGACTGTCTGGCAGTCAGAACACCTGACAGGAGGTTGCATCCAGCAGAAGGTGATGCAAGCAGAACTGGGTGTTGGAACAGAAGGGAAGATAACAGCTCTGGGTGATGCATGCTGTCTAGAGACCCATGGAGAGGCGAGCGGCCACTGTGACACCCATGTTGGGATCCAACGGTGAGAAGAAAGTGGTGGCAGTGACAGGAGAATTGGGAAGTGGAGCTGATTTTAGGAAGGAAAGTGATGAGGGGTGAGTTTGGGACATGATGCGTTTCGTTACCTGTGGGATTAGAAGCTCTGGTGGTGTCGTGGCTAAATGCTCTGCTGTTGGCCAAAAGGTTGGCAGTTCCAACCCACCAACCCTCCCCCCAGGGAGAAAGCTGTGGCAGTCTGCTTCTGTAAAGATGTACAGCCTTCAGTCCTCCTACTCTGTCCTACAGGGTCTCGCTGAGCTAAAATTGCCTCAACAGTGGTGGATTTTGTTTGTTTGTTTGGTGGGACATTTGGTCCCAACTTTGTGACCCAGGGTGCATTTTGTCTACAAGAATATTTTTACTTTGTGTGTGTGTGTGCATAAATCATTTTATTCGGGGGGGGTCATACAGCTTTCACCACAATCCATATATACCTCCATTGTGTCAGGCACATTTGTACATTTATTGCCATCATTGTCAAAGCATTTTCTTTCTACTCGAGCCTTTGGTATTGGCTCCTCGCTTTTTTTCCTCCCTCCCCCACCCTCCCTACCTCCTAAACCCTTGATAATCTATAATTTATTGTTATTTTTTCATGTCTTTCACTGACTGATGTCTCCCTTCACCCATCTCTCTGTCGTTCATCCCCCTGGGACGGGGTTATATGTAGATCGTTGTGATTGGTTCCTCCTCTCTCCTCCCACCTTCCCCTTCCCCTCCTGGTATCATTATTGGACCTGAGAGATTTATCTATCCTGGATTCCCTGTGTTTCCAGCTCTTATCTGTACCCATATACATGCTCTGGTCTAGCTGGATTTTTAAGGTAGAATTGGGATCATGATAGTGGGGGAGAGAAAGCATTAAAGAACTAGAGGAAAGTTGTATTTTTCATTGGTGCTGTACTGGCACCCTGACTAGCTCCTCTCTTCCTTGTGACCCTTCTGTAAAGGGATGTCCAATGAATATAGTTATTTTTATTGAGAATTTCTACAAAATTTGAAGATACCTTTCAAATAATTATTTTCTGAACTCTTCCTCGATCAGTTTTCGACAGCAGATTAGATAAACTACTTCCAAATGTTTTCATGTTTTCATTGAAATGATTTTCTATGGAGCAAACTAATCTGTCTTTTACATTTTATGTATGCATAACAAATAGCATCAAGAATAACCTCTGCCACTTTAGCATGTCTTTTGGGGCCAAAAAATATTTCTCTCAAGTCAAATGTTCCCTGGTCAACTTTCTTAAGCCTCACGTTGCAAAGATATCTCATTCTTCTAACAGTTCTTAGCGAATGGCGAGTGTGGCGCGCCACTTTGGGTCCTGTCGATTTGCTCTCATGTTGGCTGTTTCCCCTGAGACTGGGTGACCCATCGGGTCTGAGTGCTGCTGCTGGTGTTGAGAGGTGCCGTTGAATCACTTCTGAGTCACCAGGACCTGCTGGGAGCAGAAAGAAGCACTACCCAGTAGGTCCAACCCTCACAGCCGTTAGTGTGGCCATTGTCGGCCATCTCATTGAGGGTCTTCCTCTTGTTCACTGACGGTCTATCAAGCACAATGTCCTTCTCCCAGGACGTATCCCTCCTGATAACACGTACGAACTACAAAGTCTCAACACCCCCAAGTCTAAGGCATCTTCTTGCTAGACTGGCAGGGGTTAAACCATTGGCGTCAGCAGACTGGATTTCTCGGTCCCATCATGTTATAGGCTTGAACCAAGACAGACCCGGATGTCATCCATCCCAATGTCAGATGAACTAAATGATCGCGTGACTTGTGATTGACAGAGAGACATTAGCAGAGCCCATGATGGATTCTGCCTGTGCTTTCCTCTCATCATGGGATAAGAAGGGGGGCGGGGTGGAGGAGCCATACCAGTTGTCACCTCTCTCCCCTAAAGTCCCTCACCCAAGTCTAGGGAGGATCCTGGAGAAAATAAGCTAGTGGGATAGTATCTGAATGGTTTGCCAGGAGAGGCTGGGAAGATTTCAAAAGCTCTTTAAAGTAAAGATTTTAGCTTTGCCTTTTCTCTTCAAGGACATGCAGAAGGATATGGATGAGAAGATGGATGTCCTAATAAATATACAGAAACACAAGTTGTGAGTATACCCTGCACACCTCTCTCCTGGTCCCTGGAGGGTCCCTCTTCACTCCGTAAGTGCCCCGGGGCTCCAGGTGACACACAGCTCTCCAAGGAATGGCCGTGGCCTCTAGTGCCTCAATGGCTTGCAATCAAAGCTTGCCATAGCGGATGATTGCCTTGCCAACTCTCTGTCCCTTTCCTGACTCCCAGTCCCCTTAGAAAAGGACCAAAGGAACACCAGGAACTCAGGCTGATGGAAAACGCTGAGTCCGACCCATCATGCAGGCACGATAAAGTGTGTGGAATTAACGGGACGTCAGCTGGTCGTCACCGGAGGGTCATGTCACCACACAAAATCAAACAGGACTCAGTAGAACCCATTCATTGTAAGACCTGTGTAAGTGAGCCCAGCCCCATCCCAGCACCAGTTCTAGAGCCCTGGGGTCCTGCTCCTCCTTGCCTCACTCTGAGCCTCCTCACTCCTGGGGACTTGGACCACGCCTTCATTGACTGGAGCCCTTTAGACCAGGAGGATCCTAAGCCATGACTCTTTAGGATTTGACCCTTGGATGCGCCTGCTTCTAAGTCAGTTTCTCACCCTGTGGGTTGCAACCCCTTTGGGGGTCGAACGACCCTTTCACAGGGGTCGCCCAATTCATAACAGTAGCAAAATGACAGTTATGAAATCACGAAAATAATTTTATGGTTGGGGGTCACCACCACATGAGGAACTGTATTAAAGGGTCGCGGCATTAGGAAGGTTGAGAACCACTGCTCTAAGTGCTTCTAAGTGAGTTCCTGTCCTCTTGTAGCAAGGCCTGATTAGGGGCCCATCAGGCCGACCCTGTTGGACCAGGGAGAAATGATCTTTCTTGGACCACTTCATCCTCTGCAGGAAAAAGGTTGGTTGTGTGCCTCCCCACTCTCCAAAACAAACAAACAAACAAACAAACAAACAAGCGAACAAGCAAAACCACAATGATCAGAGGCAGGAAGCTTTTTTCAACTGGGTGCCTCATTAGTCCCCAAAGGGGAGTGATATCACTGCACTGGCATTGAACCCCACTGTGCAGTTTTGAGGAGGAAGTGAGATTATTAAGAGACCCTGCAGCCTCATACACACACACACACACACACACACACACACACACACACACACACACGGGACAAGCACCCATGGGCTTAAGCCGCTTCTGGAGGTAGGAGTTGGGTTTCCAAGTCTAGCAGCTGCCTCCCACGAGGCTCAAGAGGGAGGGACTTGCTCCCAGGCTACCCTGTCACCCTCGGTGGGGAGGGTGGACCCCTGCCGTGGGCCCCTGCCGCTGACCTGGCCTTGTCTCAGGTCCCTGCCTCTCTCCCCATCTCGAAAGAAACATCTCCACCAGGCCTGGCCACCTCTCTCACCACTTGACACCTGGAGCTGCCTTCTGATTCAGCTGTACTTCAACCCCAGAGCAACTGAGGACATTCTCCCCCAACTCCCCCCCTACCTGTGCACTGTCGTAAAACCTGGCTGGCTGCAGCTCCTCCCCACTCCTTGAGCTGCTCAGGAAGGGCTTGTTGGCTCTCAAATATCAGCCCACCCCAGGCCTCCACTGTGAGATTAAAATCTTCATTTAAAGCCAAAGAGAGGGTCATTGTGTTGAATACCAGTCCCAAAGGGAACTGTGCAAGAAGAGCGGCGCTTTACTCCCCCCTACCCGCCACCCCTCCTGCTTCCTGGTGGGTTAGTGTGAAAAGCCACCTGCATCATCCTCAGGATCTCCCTCGAAGCCACCTCTTCCCCTCTCCACTCCACTGGGTTCTACAGAGTTCTTAGTCCACCGGCCAGCACACCGGAGGCCCCGTCAGCCTGTGCTGGTTTGAGAAGAGGCCCCACTGTTTTACCCTCTGGTCTTCCTGTCCCTGACGTCCTGCTCCTGCACAGTGGGCGGCCCTGTGCCTTTGGGAGTTTGGGGCGCACGCAGGCCCCCAGGCTTCCCTCCACACTGTCTTTAGTGTTGCCAACCAGCATGCTGACGTCCCCACAACCAGGAATCCATCGTACCTGCCAGGTACCTTCTCCCCAACTCCAAGACTTCTACTGTCTCCTCTACCCAAAACTCTTCTTCGCCACCCCAGAACCTATGGGATTGTCTCCAAACTCCATGAACTGACTCTCAAGACCTCATTTCTGATCTTAGCTTCCAGACTTCTATCCCTATCCCTTCTATCCACCTGCCAGTGCTGTGTTGCTGGAAGCTATGCCATGGGCATTTCAAATGCCAGCAGGGTCACCCATGGTGGACAGATTTCAGTGGCGCTTACAGCTTAAGAGAGACTAGGAGAAAAGGCCTGGCACTCTACTTCCCAAGATTCGCCCATGTAAACCCCATGGGTCACAGCAGAGTTCTGTGGGACATGGAAGAGGAGGACAGGCCCTACGGGAGGAAACACTCAAAGTTCACAGTGACTGCACCAGCGGACTCGAGCACACAGCGAGAGAGATGATGATATACGCCCGGGCCACGTGCCCCTCGGCTGTACACGGGGTCGACCAACCGCAGAGGGAACTGCACCTTGGCCAATAACTTGCGTTCCTGTCTGTAAACCACAGTCTGGCTTCACTTCCCCGCGCCTTGCCTTTGCTGACTGCATTCTCATGTCTCTCCATCTGAGGGCCCGTCGACCCGCGTGGACTGCCCTCTGCGTCTACACCACTCCTCCAGGGTGCAGCAGGCAGGCGCTGAGAGGCCTTCCTCGCGTTCTCTCGAAGGGCTTCCATCTTCGTGAAGACTGTCCATCTGCGGACGCAGGGCTTCCCTGCAGCCCCATCTTCCTCCTCAGCATGGAGTTAGGCTCCGTACCTGGCAGGTGTTCAGAAACTGTCTGCCATGGAGTTGGTGCTGCTAAGTTTGTGGGGGCACAAGTGGGCCCACTAAGCCCTTCTGGTATTCTTAGCCCTGTGGCCTCAGCACCAAGGATGTGCCTAAGGGGTCTCAGGTGACAGCAGGCCTCTCCTTCCACATGGGCACCCTCAGGACTGGGCAAGCTGGCATGAGGGTCCAAAAGAAGTCTTGTAACTCTCCGGCCTTCACACCCCCAGCATGTCTGGAATGTGCACATGGGACGGCGGTGGTCTGTGTTCAGACCAGCTGGTGGGGTGAAAAAGGCCCCGGTGAGGTGAACTTGTGGCCAGAGCTCGGGATTTCAAACGTGAGGAGGACGCTGCTTCTGAGAACCCACGCAGGTCACCAGGGAGCTGGAGCTCCCAGCCGCAGCGACCGTGCCTGCCTGTGCCGGTGATGCTGACTGAGCACTGAGGTCTCATCCCACAGTTCTCTGCCCTCCCATTCGTGACCCTCGCTGGGCTCCCCTGGGCCCTGGGCCCCTGGGGCCCAGCTCAGAGGGGAAAGCTGACAACTGGGTGTGGGAGCAACAGGGGCGCCTGATGTACCCAGTGCAAGCCTGCCGTCCAACATCTGCCGGGTCTCCCCCTGGGGAGGGACCCTAGGGAGCCACACTGTCATCCCTGCTGACACTGCCTTTGCTGGTGGGCTCGCACATTTCCTGGGGTCTCCGTGTCACCTCGTCTGGAAATGGATCATCCTTAACGTTGACGGTTCTCCCGAATGGGTGATTCCTGTCCTAGGTACAGACCCTCTTATGGGTAGGTGGGGGTCTCTCCCTCACCTCAGAGCCGCAATTCTTTGTGCCGTAGGACCCTGCCTTCCTAGTCTCAGTTGATTGGACCCATGTAGGTTTTCAACCCAAACGAGTCAATTGGGTTTCTTTCCCTGGGAGTTTGGGGTCCCATTTTGATGAGACCGGAACTTCGGCCAGGTCGTTGGGAGTTGGTCAGGGAAGCAGAGACAGCTGGTCTGTAGGCAAAGAAAACCCGCCTGCAGAGAGAGGAGAGTCCAATCGAGTTGCCGAGAGAAGTCCTAGAGGTGGGGCTGTAAGGACCACTCGCCAGGCCCTGGCCCCTCCAGACTTGGGGCTGCCTCCTCCTGCAGCTTGGTTATGCATTGGGCTGCTGACTCCTGGCTGCTCCTCAGAAGAAAGACGGTGCTTTCTACTCCCGTAAAGAGTTACAGTCTCGGAAGGTCACAAGGCAGCTCTCCTCTGTCCTAGAGGGTCCCTATGGGCCAGCATCGACTTGACAGCAGTGAAGTTTTCTTTTCATTTATTTTTAAACCTCTACTCGAAGAACCCCGGGTGGCTTAGTGGGTTACAACTTGAATACTAACCACAAGGTCAGTTGTTCAAAACCACCAGCCTCCTCAAGGGAGGGGATGAGGCTTTCCATTCCCATAAAGAGTTACAGTTTCTGAAACCCACAGGGCAGTCCTACCCTCTTTTATAGGGCCGCTATGAGCTGGCATAGGCTCCAGGGCAGTGAGTTTGGGTTGGTTTGGTTTGATTCCCTCGGGCTCTCTGATCAGACTGCCCATTTCTGTGTAAGCAGAGTGTACGTCTGTTACTAGCTCATGAGCCTTAACTAAACCCCCAGCACTAGAAGGAATCTCAGATGCTCTCTAACTCCATCTCATCAACTTACAGATGAGCACTCTGAAGCCCAGAAAGGTGCAGGGAGGGACCCTCGGCCACACAGCCAATTCGTAGCAGAGCCAGGCCCAGGCCCCAGGTTTTCTGACTCCTGGCCTGGTGCTCTTTGCCTGCTTCTCCAGTTCTGGCCCCCGTCGCTCGGTGCTTTCTGGGGCCGCTGTCCCTGCAGTGGGGACCAGGTGAAGCAAAGTGAGCTTGGCATCAGCTGAATCTGGAGACAGATCCCAGCCCCACACTCACTAGCGACGTGGCCACAGGCCAGTGCTCCCCAGGCCAGCCCTGAAGGTAGCCGGCATCATCGACTGGAGCTCAGACCAGCCCCTCTGAGGGGCTTTAACCCAGCAGGTAGGGTCATCACTCAGTTTCCACGGCAGTGGGACACCTGCCACCTTCCTAAGAGATGGTGCTGTGCGGGACCCTGAAAGGGGCAACTTTCCCTAGCTCATGAGTAATTTCTCCTCCCCTTCTTGTAAGCCAGGTAACCTTTTAGCATATCTCTCTTTATTTAAACAGAATAAAATCAAGAGAGAGAGAAAAAATCTCCATATTAAACAGTGAGCGTGAATACCCCACCCCCACTTGAGCCCCCACAGTCGATCAGGACACATGATGGTGAAGGGGGCCCTTGGTGGGACAGGGGCAGGTTTAATGGTGGGACGAGACTGCCCAGTCAACATGTCAGCTTTAAAAAGTCATGGGTTTGGGGAGATGGGTGCCCCTGGTATGGGGCTAATCGGTACTCTCTCTGAGGGGACATTTTGGCCATCGATGCCAGGTGCCCTAAAAGACGAGGGGGAAAGCGCAGATGCGCAAACATTTGGTGGCAAGAGCACAGGTACAGCTCCTCCTCCCCTGGGCTTCCCAGATCCCGCGGCTTTTACAGACTGTGGTTTGTAGCAACCCCCCCCCACCCCCACCCCCCCACCCCCGCAGGGCGAGTGAGCCATTGGCACCATTGTGCTCACGCTGTCTCTCTGCCACAGCTTAGTCATTGTCACAGCGTCTCCAACTGGCTCATCACACTAGTGCACACGGAATAGACTGCCCCAACCACTGCCATCGAAGTGTCTCCTAGCCCCACAACACAGCGTTTCTGAGACTGTAGATCCTGCAGGAGCAGACGGCTTGATCTCCCGGTGGACAGCCCAGTGCCTCACCCACCGCCAGAATGCGCCTTGGAGTCGGGGAGGGATGGCGAGACTTCGGCTCATGTCACCCTGCCTGGTAGAACAGACTCACCGCCGTTGAGCCTGTTCCAGTCCCAGGATGCGTCAGGACAGAGGAGAACTGCCCTTGTGGGCTCCCAAAGCTGGACATCCTTATTATAAAAATGTAACTGTTTTATTGACATACAATTCACATATTATACAATTCAGTAGTTTCAGTATATTATAAAGAGTGGTGCAGTCATCACCACAATCCATTTGAGAGCAGTTTCTTCTTTTCTGTACTTGCTATTATTAGCTCCCCATTTCCCCCTCACCTCCCCTGCCAGAACCCCAAGAAACTATCCGTCCAGTTACTATCTCGATCGAGTTAGCTGTCCTGGATGTCATATAAAGAAAAACACAAAACCTAAAAGCAAATAAATTACAGAAGCAAAAACCCAACAACATTACAAAACATTGAAAAAGCTCAGGTGAAAAGACAGTAGAAAACAGTACAGATGTAAAATGGGTCAAAAGGGAGACCAAATGATCAGGTGCTCAGTGGATGCACTTGAATGGTGGTGCTGGCGGAGAATATGGAAAGTACCATGGACTGCCGACGGACAAACAGACCTGTCTTGGAAGAAGTGTGAGCAGAGTGCTGCTTCGAGGCAAGGATGAAGAGGCTTCGTCTTACATACCTTGGGCATGTTCCTTGGGCTCCAGTCCCTGAAGAAGAGCATCACGCTTGGTACAGTGGAGGGAAGCCCGAAAGAGGGAGACCCTCAATGAGCTGGGCTGACACCGTGGCTGCCACAACGGGCTCAAGCACAACAACAATTGTGCAGATGGCCTGGGGTGGGCAGTGCTTCACTCTGTGGTTCATAC